TGTAAATACATAGGGTGGTATGCATGTGAATACCCCTTTTTCAGGCAATGAGGGTGAACCAAAAAAATACTAGGTTTTAGAGCAAGTTTAAATTAATACCATACTATTTTACTTTAAATTTGTAATTCTCGAAAGAATTAAACATTCTCTATCAATTGTTGCCTTCAAGTTAGTTAGTGTACTATGTTCTTATTATCTATTTTATATCAACATTTAAATTATAGGTTATGTTTTATAATTGTTCATTAATGTATTTATACATTTATAATTTTATATATCAAATTAGTGTTTTGGTTAATAAAAGCGCTGCCGCTTCGCTCTGCACTTTGCACTTTGCGCTTTCAAATAAAAAATAAAGTTTTGTGAATCACATTACACTTTGTGCTTTGATAATATTCGTACCTATATAAACACCCCTTATGTTGATTGCTCAAAATAATGGACACATGATTATGATAAATTACAATACATTCAGATTCATCAACAATCTTATGGATATTATAAATCATCACTAATGTTTGAAATTTTTTATTGCTATTAATATTTATATTATGAGTATCTCCTGAAGTATATGGAAGATATTAGCATAGGTCCTATGAGGTTATTTATATGATTTCTCCATCCATTCAAATCGAAAGACATTTTTATCTAATGGTTAATCATATTATACTTCAAATTATCAAATTCTAAAGCTTACGAAGCATGCATCAATTTCAAAAGCTTAGGCAGTTGTATCACCTCCACCTTTTCAAAATCATGATGTTGATGATGAGTTGATCTATGTAAATTACTATTGTGTTTATCCAACTTCTGCATATAAACTTCATGATTCTAATCAATCATTAGTATTTAAGCATCTTGCTAATCCTTATTATTAGATTATGCCAAAGACTATCTTTGGAGTTTGAGATTATGTCTGAGCTTATTGTTGACTATAAAATATCTGTTGCTATCTTTGAGATGATGAAATATTTTAATTTATAGTCCCAATGTTTTTACATGATTTCTCTTTAGATATGTAGGTTGATTCACATGTTTCAAATTTATGGTTTGATTCCTCTCAAGAAGTACATGTTGACTTTGTATGATCATTGTTATCAACCTCATATGAGTATGGTATTTTCTGTGATTTTGATCAAATAAAGTTGTATGTTTTTAGAACACTGTCATTTTTGGGTCCCAAGCTCCAGATGTGAAAAGTGGAGAGTTACGTTAGGTAGTCGAGAAACAGCATAAAATTTGTCAAAAAATCGTAATATGAAGCCTTTAGATCCTTTTATAAATGCTAGGGCATCTCCTGGAAGCGACGCGTTGTATGACCTGAATACAGTGACAAGTTTGTAAGGGCTGCTACACCATCGTGTAAGTGTAGTATCAAATAAGCAAAGGTTCCCCCATTGCGGATGAATGCGAGTAAAGAAGTTAGTTAATGAAACTATTTTTAGGATAAGATATTGGAATATGGGTAGGTACTCTCATCGAAAAATTAATTAACTTAGTTGATATTATGGTTCATAAGAAGATAAATGTCCTATGTATTCTAGCAACTTAATGGGTTGAAGAAAAGACTAAATAGATTGATTTAGGTTTTAAGCTTTGGTATTCACGTTGGAAATGACCTAGAAGGCTTAATACAAGTGATACCTCTTGAAGAAAAAATTTGTATTTGAGGAGATTTAAATGGACATGGTGGTAGAGTGGTAGAATATTTTAGAAATATTCATGGTGGCTACGTTTTTGGAGTGATCAATGAAGAAGGTAGAGACATTAGATTTTTGTTTTATTGTATGATTTTGTTGCTGCTAATACTTTTTAAAGAAAGTAGATGAGCATATTTTTATGTGTAAGAATGGATCTAATAATTATTTTCTTATGAAAAGTATAAATCGTCAAGAATGTAAAGATTATAAGGTCAATCCTAAGGAGAATTTAAGTATTCAACAACGATTATTAGTTCAGAATTTTAAGATGAAAAGTTGTAAGATAATGAATATTAAGAATCGTTGTCATAAAATTAGATGGGGGCACCTAAAAGACAAATAAAATTATTTTTATGTGTAAACTTCAAGATTTCAAGATTTAGAATGTTTGTGAAGAAACAAATTCTTTGTGGGATGAATAACAAACACTATTAAATAAATGGCAAAAGATGTCCTTGAAGAATCAAAAGGGAAATTTTCTATAAATAAAATCAGTGGGTGGTTGAATAATATTGTAAGAAAAAATAAAATATAAGAAGTATTATAAAAATTTGTTTAAATGTAAAAGTTTAAAGAACTGGGAAAAATATATGGTGTCCAGAGGGAGTCTAAGAGAATATTTTGTGATGCTAAAAATTCTGTTTCTGTGATCTTAATATTGTTAATAATAATAAAATATCTTTTTTTATCGTCGTATTAGTAAAAAAATGAGGAATCTTCAAAAAAAATTAAGGGTGGAAAATCAGTAGAACTTGATGATATCCCAATTGAAGTGTGGAAATATTAAGGAGATTTGGGAGTTTGTTGGCTTATTAAACTCTTTGATATTATTTTAAAAACTAAAAAGATATATGAGGAGTGAAGGAAGAGTATTTTGGTTTCCATTTTAAGAATAAAGGGATGCACTAGAGTGTGCAAATTATAGGTGAATTAAGTTGATGTGTTATACTACTTTAAAATTATAAAAATTATGGGAGATGGTAATTGAATATACGTTGAAACGTATTACAAAGATTTTTCATAATCAGTTTGGATTTATGCCAGACAGGTCTATTATGTATTCTATACATTTATTGAGAGGTTTGATGGAGAAGTACAAAGGGAATAAGGAGGATCTGCATATGATTTTTATTGATTTAGAAAAAACATACGATATGATTCCAAGAGAAATCCTTTGGAGAATTCTAGAGAAGAAAGGTGTTGATATGACTAATATTCAGGTCATTAAAGATATGTATACTAGAGTTGTTACTTGTGTTCAAGCAGAAGGAGGATTGACCCAATATTTTCCTATTTCAATTGGATTACATCTAGGATCGGCTTTAAGCCCATATCTTTTTGCTTTAGTTATGGATGCTTTTACTGGTTTTACAGGAGGATGTACCTTGGTGTATGCTTTTCAGTGATGATATCCTTCTTGTGGATAAAACTAGAGAAAAAGTTTAGGAAAAATTTGAATTATGGTGGTCTGCATTGGAGACTAAAGGCCTTCGTTTGAGTAGAACTAAAATCTTACACATGGAATGTAGTTTTAGTAGTAGTTGCTCTAGTGGCAGAGTTGTAAGTACAAGTGATCAAATCATTAAATGGTGTGATCGCTTTAGATATCTCTGGTCTATTGTTCAAAGTGATGTGATATAGTTGCGGATGTTATTAGTAGATTTTGGTTGGTTGATGTGGAGGAATGCATCAGGCCTATTGTGTGATAGAAAAGTACCGCATAGACTAAAGAAAAATTTTATATGATGATGGTGAGACTTGCAATGCTATATGGCACAGAATTTTGGCCTTTAAAAGATAAGCATAAAACAAAGTTAAGTGTTGCCGAGATGAGAATTTTTAGGTGGATGAGTGGCTTGACACTTGGAGACAAAATGCGAAATGAATATATTTGTGATAGAATTGGTGTAGCTTTAGTGATGGATAAAATTAGAGAGTCGTCTTAAATGGTTTTTTCACATTAAACATCGATCATCTGATGATCCGGTTAGGAGTGTAGATGTTTGAGATTCGACATATTTTATAAACATTGACCATCTGATCAGGTTAGGAGGTAGACCTTGAAAGACTTTGGCATATTTTATAAAAAAATGATAAACCGAACCGCGGGACGCTGCGTTCAGAACGCCGCCAAACGAACGTGCGAAACAAACGCGTAAAAATGATTCATGTAGCCGACCCCACTTATTGGGATGCTGGCTTGTTACACCGTTCTGAAAAAGCTGTGCCAAACAGGGCCTTAATGGGATGCTGGCTTGTTGTTGTTTTAAAGATGTATGTTGGTGATATATAAAATCAAATCCTTCAAATTTAGCTTTCTATTTTTAGACAACATATGATGAAGATTCAAAAAATGTTTATGTAATTGTTCCTTTGCGATCCTTTGCAATTGCCACTATGGAAACCAATTTTTATGAAAGGGGTGCAAAGCTCTTTAAGAGAAGATTGTAGTGGTCCTTGAGGAATTGATGCACAAGAAGATTATGCATAGACTTTTCTATCGTTGTAGATTGATTTTAGATTTTATTCTATTTAATATTAGAATTTTTTTATTTTAAATTAGATAGGATTAATTAGAATTATTTATATTTGAATTAAAATTGAAGTTAAATTAGTTTATTTTTATCTTTTAACTGTATATTTTTAATTAGTTGCTTTATAGCTTGAATTTAATGATGGGGTGATAAATTGATTGAATTTTTTTTTTCTTTCTCCTCTATCTCACACCAAAGCGATTCTTTTCTTTCTCTTGATTGGTTTTGTGCTCTCTTTTTTAATATCCACTCTCTCGGGTGTTCTCCAATCGAAATCCCATCTGGTCTTCATAGTCTCTGATACTGTTGCAAATTAAATCCTTCCTTTCTCATGGTCTTTTTCATCGTCTTTCTAACTTCCACAGCCCCCTATGCCGGAAAATAATCTTTCTATTGGTTCCTTCGCAGAATCAAGATTCTCCCCATATTATCAAGGTAGGTTTCTCCCTCCAAATTACTGGGCACTAAAAGTCAAGAGCAGGTGGAAGACATTAATGGTGTATCATCAAATTAAATCGATTCTCTATATTAAATTAGTTGGTATCAGAGCATTTTTTTCATCTATCAATTAATCTTTAAGGATCTCTTATTGAAAACTTTCTTGCGACTCCCTGTAAGCTTTGGAACTAGTTATGTGCATTTAATTGATAAATTTATTCTACAGTTTTGCTCCATGTTGATATTTTGTTGGCCTATTTTAGATGATTAACTATAAAATCATTTGAATTTAAATGAAATCACTAATCCTGTTTCAAACTTTTAATAGATATTGAAGTTCATGAAGAGATACACAAGCATTTTTGGGACCCAGAGCATTGGCCAAAACACATACTAGTCAGATACACATGGTTAGAAACTATGAAGCTTTTCTAACCAAATAATTACAACAATCTTCTAAAGTTATGATATTAGCTTCAATGCATTAACATGCGTTGACGTGGGTCCTGTGTATAAATGCAAGGAAAGCATGTAGTTGTGGCCAGTCCTATTACTTTTCATACTTTTATTATTTATATTTTGATTGGTTTCGCTTGATAAATTTCAAAACAGGGAGGAAAAATCAGAAATAGATGTCTCCGCAGGATTTTATGTATTGTTTGGATCAGGTATCACCTTTTTGGAACTCTCTCTCTCTCTCTCTTCTCTTAACTTCTATCCTCAGCTTCTAATTATCTACTCTGTATTTTGAATGACATAAAAGGAAAGAGAAAATTGCAGTAAAAAAGAAGGAAAGAAAAGAGAAAAGAAAAGGTGTTACAAGGAGAAAAATAGCAATCAATAAGAAAAAAGTGGCAAGCACATGGACTTATATGTACTATGGAAATGGAAAGTGTTTAAGCGATGGAGGGAATGTGAATCGGGTTAATTGGACAATCTAAACACAATGCATTAGAGCATATATACTATAGTACTATGGAAATAGCAATGGAGGGAGTGTGAATCGGGTTAATTGGACAATTTTAACACAATGTATTAAAGCGTATATACTATATGTTTAAATGAATTTTTAAGCAAGGGTCTTAGAACAATTTTTTTACTATATATTTTGAAAAATGTGAAATCTGTTAATTTTTTGAACCGCATTTTATTTTGTTCAATTGATTATTATTTTAATTATTCTTTGATGCCTGTAAACCTCAATATTATTTTATATAATGAAATATTGAAAAGTTTTTGGTAAATTTACATGCATAACACACCATTTTTATGTATTTACTTACGTAACAGCTAAACTTTATTTTCTTATATTTCTAACACTTACACAAGAAAATGTGTATTTCACTTTAAAAGTTTAGTAATAGTGGTATTTTTATTTGATATTAAAGATTTGAGTGCTATAAATGTAAACAATGAAGTTTGGGTGTTAGATATATATATAACAATTGTGTGGTATTTATCTAAATGCCCCAATTTTTTTTCATGTCCCATCACATTTTAAGAAACAATGTTAGCAAATAAGAATAATTGTATAAATTTATCAATTCCATTGGATTAAATTACTATATGATTAAAAATTTATATGCATATTTTGAGGATAACATGAACTTTAAATTGTGTACTAAGGGAATGTGCATATTGGAAAGATATCTTTTTGGAGATGTAAAGGATTATAATATGTACGCTTACATATTATTGCAATTATCTGCGTTATTTTTTTAATTATCAGAATAGACTTTTTTAATGATATAATTTTTTCATTTTTAATTTCATGATTACAAATACTTCAAATTAATTGTTGTTTGAATCAAATAATTATTTTTTTTTCTTTTCTGGGGGGGGGGGGGTTTAATTAAGTTTTTTGTGCCATTCATGTTTGCAACTTTATAGATCTCATGTTGTTTTTCTTCTGTTACATAGTTTGCCAGATTTTTTTCTATTAATTTTCAATGTTGCGTCTCCCTTTAATATATTAGAAAGCAACGTGGCAAAGAAGCAGAGAATATGTTGGTCTTTCATAATAAAACTTCTCTTTCGATCATGTTTATATTGCAATGCTGGCTATATTTCTAATGACACTATCATATAGAAACTCTTACTCATTAATCAAGTCAAAATTGCATTGCTAGTTTTATTCCTGATGTTATACACACACACACACACACACACACACATATATATATATATATATATATGAAAATATAGTGAAAAAATATTAGAAGACTTATTCTTATTGATACAAAGAGATGTATAAATACTCATTACAGGACATACTGGTAAGGAAAACAATAAAAACAGAATACAGTAGGTAAGGAAAGGGATGATAACAAATATAAGAGGCAGCTATTCTCTGTAATTAAGGAGACAGATTAACTAGAGACTCCTAAGTTCCCTTATACATTTATAACCCTCTAAATTTAGAGTTACTACAAATATGAAATATAATCATCATTATTTGTGAGATCTTTCAACACTCCCCCTCAAGCTGGCATGAAGATGTCACTCATGGCCATGGCAAGCTTGTGCAAGCTTGTTAACTAGATTCTCGTGTTGCACTTTGGAAAGACCTTTTGTTAGAATATATGTTGTTTGACTATCAAGTGGGTATGTATTCATATACATATCACACCACTATTTATGTTCTCCTTGATGAAATATTTGTCAACTTCTACATGTTTTGTTCTGTCATGTAGAACTAGATTATGAGCTATAGAGATTACAGTCTTGTTGTCGCAGTAAACTTTAATAGGTGCTGATATAGGAATCTTCAACTCTTCCAGGAGTCTTTTTATCCATAATACTTCACAGAGTCCTTGCGCCACCGAGCGAAATTCTGCTTCAGCACTACTTCTTGCTACCACACTTTGTTGTTTACTTTTCCAAGTAACCAAATTTTCACCTACAAATGTACAATAACCTGATATGGATCTTCTATCATTTACGTCTCCTGCTTAATTTGCATCTGTGTAGGCCTCTATTAGAAGATGTTCTTCCTTTTTGAACAAAAGTTCTTTTTCCAGGACTTCTTTTGAGATATCTCAAAATTCAGAATACAGCTTCGAAGTGAGTAGGTTCAGGTGAATGCATGAATTGACTCACCACACTCACTACAAAGGCTATGTCAACTCGAGTGTGAGTTAAATAGATTAGTCGCCCTGGTATTTTCAAATCAGGAAGCCTTTGAACAAGATCGTTGATTTTTCGAATTAACTTCCAGTCATGTTCTTTCATGCTCTTGTCACCGTGTGGCGAGGTCTTCTGATATAATGGTCCGAGTAGTACTCCTAGATTTGGAATATAATTTCTTGCATAATTCAAAATACCGAGCCAAGATCTCATACCTTGTTTTTCTTTTAATTTTTCATCAGGGAAGTCCGCAATCTTTCTGATGATATGCTGTTGAAGTTTTATTTTTCTTTGTTTGATAACAGCTCCAAGAAATTCAATTTCATTAACTGCAATTTTCATTTTTGTTGGTGAAAGGACTAATCCTTCTTTCTCAACAATTTCTAAAAATTTCTCAAGATGCCTTTTGTGTTCTTCCTCATTATTGTTTTACAATGGCGCTTAAAGCAGATGTAGATTTGGATACAGTCCCATAGTAATATCTAGATTTAATTCCTCAGTGGCCTCCTTTGGGATATTATTAATATGAGCACAACAAGTTGTTGCACTGGTATCAATAATAGCTTTAAGATGAAATCTTTCAACACCTAGAACTTCAAAGGTAACAGTTACATTGTAAAGCCGATTCATCATTCTTCTTGGATTTTTTTTGGTTTGTTCTTTGACTGCTTCACATAGAACTTTAACTCCACTGGCTTCCTCAATGAATTGACTTAAATCTTCTTCATTTTCATCAATTATAGCTTTGCCTTTATCGTGCAAATAAAGTTCCTTGAAGTTTTCGTGTAGCTGCTTTTCTTCTTCCGATTGAATTTTTTCTTTCAATCTCGTATTTTTCTCATTTAAATGATCAACATATTTAATAAGTTCATGAATCAAAGATTCTTTTGACTGAAATTGCAATAGTGTGAGCTTCTTTTTAATTTCAATTTCAAGATAAAATTTGGAGCAGAGCGGACATCGTTTGAATAATCTGCCTAATTGAACGATTGGGTTCAATCCATGGTTATATTGTATAGTAATATCCTATTAACAGGCTAAGTCATTATACATAGTAAAAGCCCTAGATGCTTCTCAACAACCATCAAGCTTCTGAAAAGATTGGATTAGTCCTTCCATGTGTTAATACAACTAGTTTGACATGATTATAAAAATTGCAGTTGCAATTTGAAGAACATGTTAATGCGTTGTTTAATCTCAAGGTTATACGTATTTAATTAATCTCAAGAACAGTACAAGCAGGCACAGAACCATGGCAATCATCGTACATTCAGACGTAACAATTGATCATAAAACAAAGAAGGAGGTGAGGGGTAAAGAGAGAATGGTATTTAATTACCGATCTCTTAATGATAATACCCATAAGGATCAATACTCGTTGTCAGGTAACAAATCAAAATCTTTCAAATGTAGATGTTACATTTGTGGAGAAGAATGTCATTTTGCTCGAGAATGTAAAAGTAGAATAGGAAATATGGCAAGAGCGGCTATTGTTAGCAATTTGGATCTACCAGACAATTATGATGTTCTATCAGTAGGTTTTGATGAAGATTCATCTGATGTTATCTGTCTCTGAAGGGGCAGGCAGTATCAATACCATCTTGCATATAAAATCTGCCCTAGAAAACTCCCCAGATGAAGAGATAATATACGTGTTAAAGGAAGATAACATGTGGAATCTTCCCTCTGCAAACAGTACACAAGGAGTCCTACTTGTTCTTCCTGATGATTTCTCGTTATATGACGATGTAATTTCAAGATGGGAATCAATCACGTTGAATTTGCTGACTGAAAAACTATTTGCTGATAACAGATCTAAGGTGTTGTACATTGAAAATCTTCTTGGCGAAGTTGAAAAGAAGATTTGGATACAATAAAGGATAACATACGAAAGAGAATATGAGGCGTTGATTGATGCTGCTGATGATCCTCAAAATGTACTTTCTCATATACGTCATGTTATATTACTTGAAGATCCGTTCCAGGGATCAACAGAGGAACAAAATATAACATATCTAGACCTTGAAAGACTGGTATGTTCTGAAATTAAAAATATGTTCGAATACATGAATGATTACAAAACACTTCCTACAAAATCTGGGAGAATGTACATAAGCGAAGATTTATCATCCAAATTCTTTAAAAAAATGTCTCCAGTAATTGGTGATGAAATTGAAAAGGCTTTAAAACAAAGAAGGAGGTGAGGGGTAAAGAGAGAATGGTATTTAATTACCGATCTCTTAATGATAATACCCATAAGGATCAATACTCGTTGTCAGGTAACAAATCAAAATCTTTCAAATGTAGATGTTACATTTGTGGAGAAGAATGTCATTTTGCTCGAGAATGTAAAAGTAGAATAGGAAATATGGCAAGAGCGGCTATTGTTAGCAATTTGGATCTACCAGACAATTATGATGTTCTATCAGTAGGTTTCGATGAAGATTCATTTGATGTTATCTGTTCTATCTCTGAAGGGGAAGGTAGTATCAATACCATCTTGCATATAAAATCTGCCCTAGAAAACTGCTCAGATGAAGAG